TTGCACACCCAGGACGTGCTCGTTAAGAATCTGCGGGAGTGGGGCCGGCCCCATGGCTCACTTGGGAGAGTGCAGCGCTGGTAGCGCCAAGGCTGCGGGTTCGGATCCTATATAGGGATGGCCGGTGCACTCACTGGCTGAGCGTGGTGCAGACCACACCGTGCTGAGGGTTGCGATCCCCTTACCAGTCAAAAAAAAAAGAATCTGCTGGAGTGAACTGAGCAACTCTCAGGTTCTGCCACCACTCGCTAGCTCCTGATTTTCATCTCTGTGCCTCAATTGTCTCACTGGTAAAATGGGGATAATAAGAGTTACTATCATATAGGGCTGTTGTGAGGATTAAACAAATTTATATATGAACAGCATTTGGTGTCTGGCACAGGGAAAGCACATTAGAAATGTCAGTTATTGTCCTTTTTATGCCAACTATAGTATGCTAATCTGCTGGAAGCTTCCACTCACACAGGATTTTTTCCCATGGCATCGCATCCCTGATACCGTCATCCCCCCTCTGGTAGAAGGCTCCCAGCAACAGGAAGCTCCCAAGCTGCTGAGGCAGCCTATTCCATAAAGCTCTCATAAAGGTCTTCCATAGGGAGCTGAAATTTGCTGCAACTTCTATCCTGATCTTGGTTCTGCCCCATAATATGAACTCAGAAAAATCTAATCCCTTCTTCCATCTGACAGGTACAATGTTTCTCCTTAGTTTTTCCCTCCCAACCCTAACCACCCCAGGTTTGTCAGCCATTCCACATATGACCTGGTTCTGAAAGCTCCCACCATCCTGGGTCCTTTTTTTTTTTTTTTTTTTGGTTAAAAACATAGCAGCCACAGGAGAACACAAAGCATCTGGCTAGGGTACACCTCTAAGCTAGATGACACCCATCTGTTCAAAAGCTCAGGATTTAACCAGCATTTTCTGAAACCACATTTCCCCTCCTATTGGTGCATGATGAGGAAGATCTGAGATCATCAAGTCTTTTTCACGTACATTGCTTTCAGAGCAAGGTCTTCTATCCAGCTCTGTGCTTCAGGATCTAATTCCCCCTGCAGCTGAGTTTTCTGTATTGACTTTAAAGGACAGGACAGGAGAGGCAGGTAGCTCCAGGGAGGGAAGCAGAAGATATGCTTAGTTTCAGGGCTGTATGGTTTATGGATAAATTCATTTTTATTCCCTTGGATAGCAACAGAGTGCCAAAGAGTGATAAACTGCAAGATCTATAATGATGGGATGGATATCATTCCTGGTGTTATCTAGGTTAAATGCTATGATGCTAATGAATTACATTTTCTGAGTATAACTTATTGATGGTAGTCCTAATCTCCTTCAGAATACAAATGAGTGTCCCCATTAATTATAAAGTGATATTAAATGAAATGACAAGGGATCCATTATGATTCTATAATATTCTGTACTCAGCTCATTAATGAAATGACCACAGTAGTAACACCTCATAGTTATACCTTTATATCATACATTTCAATTTATCAAGTGCTTCTCTCTCTCTTTCTCATGCAAACATTATGTATAAATGCAAACATATATATACATGTTTTAATCTTCACAAATACTCTACAAAGGACTATTATTCCTCCGGTTCCTTTTTCACAGATGAGGAAAATAAGAATCAGACAAGGTTATCATATTCATGATAGAGGTAAGACCAGAATTAAGGTGTTTTGACTCTAGGTCTAACACTATTTACCCTAAATCATATTTCCTTAGTATGGCTGATTTTTCTATTGCAGAAGTTAAAGTTAGCTATTTTGATGACTGTCAAGAATTTCTGGATTCCAGGAAACCATGGTATGAATAGGGGAAATGATAATATATCTTATTGACTGCACTGTCAATTGTCTCTATCTTTTTGAAAACAGACCCCTTACCCAGCAATACCCACTTCCTACATGCTTCTCCCCCAAAAAGGTCATGAAGGTCTTCTCAGGAATTCTTTTTTTCTTAGGATCACAGAGTACTATCTGAAAAAAGGTAACATTACTGAGTCGATTGAATTAGGGCAGACTGGCCCAGGACTTTTACTTTGGGGAGACTTACCTCGGCTGGGCACCTTATTTCTACTGAATGCAGCAGTTGGCTGGTGTCCATAAGGATGTATCCCCAATTCCTGGGCATGACTCACAGTTCCTAGTAAAGATTCAGGGTCTCGAGGTCCACTGGCACTCAAGAGCAGGGGGCTGTCATGGCAACCTTTGGTCAACGTACTGGAGCTCTTAGTGTCTGGGAAGCCGTCCTTGGCCCCCTCACATGAGCAGTCCTCTTCCATGCTCTCCGGATGCATTGGTGCCGGCTGATGAGCATAACCGTGGGTCGGGGTGGGTGAGGAAACCTGTGAGATACATTCTTGAGCCCTGATTTGGAGAAGATGCTGGGGGCTGCTGTGGTGGTGGTGATATGAGTCAGCATTTTGATAAGATAAAGACTGGCGCTCTGTCATACTCTGTCCCCCAAGACTGGGAGACAGACTGCCAGTATCCCCTTGGTTCATGTGCCTGAACAATTCTTGGTACTCTTGCTGCTGCTGCTGCTGCTGTCGTTGCTGCTGCTGCCTTTTAATGAGCTGTGCAAACTCTGCTGGGGGCAGCCGGATGTCTGAGTGGCCGGTGAGCGAATGCCGGGGAGAGAGCAGTCCTTGAAGGATGTGGGGTACCTGCTGGTGCCTTGTATAGTCTGGCGGCGTGGGGGACAGCAGGGCCTGCTGTAGTGCCGATGTGGTATAGTGTGGCGGCTGCTGATGTGCACTGGGAGGGAAGGTGGGGAATTGGTCAAGTGGAGGGACTTTCAGGGCTTGGGTTGGAGGGAACCCCACTCCTGTTGAAGGGCTGTAGCTGCTGGGGGAACCCCGGGACTGGTCCGAAAACAGATGGGGGTGTAAATGCGCCTGGTCGTAGTTAGCAGGGGAGAAGCGATTCACGTTCAAGCTGCAGACACAAAAGGGAGTGAGTACCAGGCATCCATGTAACAAGTACTACTCTTCCTCAGTAGGGAGCACCCAATGGTACAGAGACTGGGTAAGAGAGGGATGTGCACATCATCTCTGTTTATCCCCTATTCACTTATCCAATAACTTCCAAGGGACGTAGGGCACTGTATGTGTAATAGATCTAGCTCTGCTTTGAACACAGCAACTTGGCCTATCTCAAAAGATCATTTGAGCTATTAAGAGGCACCAAGCTCTTAGAAGAGTGACAGAGAGGGAAAGACTCCTAAAAGAATAGACAAGAGGAACTGGCATTTTTACACACTCCTCTAAAAGGCCGTTTCCTTCTTTGCAAGCAAATCATAAGGTAGCTTTGCCATTTTCCTCCTCTGTCTCCTTAGCATTCTAATCCTGGGTCAATAAATAGGTTATAAGTTCATCCTAAACCCACTGCCCTGATTTTAGAAAGGGCAAAACAAGAGCGCAGCCTAGTCAGACCCATTCTCCTCCCCTCCTGCTCTCTCACTCTGCTCAGGGGTTTCCTCCCACCTGAACCACTTGGAAGGATGGGCTAGGTGATGGTAGGGAGCCTTACCTGTGGGCCTCTGCACTGTCAGCACTCAGCTGCTTGGACAAGGGTCGGTGCCCATAGCTGAAGGTGGTCATCAGGTTAGTACGATGCTGCATCTGAATCTGACTGGCACTGGGGCTGAGGGAGATGCCCCGCCCGGTGGAGCCTGCAGCTGCCCCTGGCATGTTGTTGAGCATGTCAACAGGCTCTTGTACTTGGATGGTCACTTGCTGTGACTGGGGAGGCTGTGGCATGCCCAAGCAGGTTAGTGCCACACTGGGAGGAGAGGAACAGTTCTCAGGCTGCTGCTGGAAGATTGCACTGCAAGAGGGTAAACCTTGAAACTGGGAAGGAGATGCAGCACCTGGAGAGAAAGGAACATCAGAGTGACCGAGTGCCCAGGTTACCTGCCAGCTGGAAGTAATGGGAACCTGAGGACACTCGAACCAGACACCATCCAGAGCAGTGCTTCTCAAACTTCAGCGTGCACTAGACAAGTCTAGAGAACTTGTTAAACACCAGATTCCCGGGCTCTACCTACAGAATTCTGATTTAGTAGGTCGGGGTAGGTCCCCAAGAATTTGTGTTTCTGATAAGATCCCTTAAAAGCTGGGCCATGGATTATACTTTCAGTAGCTTGGATCTAGTCTGTACTTCTCAAACTTTAATGTGTATACAAATGCCCTGGGGACCAAGTTAAGATGCAGATTCCGATTCAGAAGGCCTGGGATGGGACCCGAGATTCTACTTTTCCTGCCAATGTTGTTGGGTAGGGGACTCCACTTTGAGTAGGAATGGTTTGCGGCCAATTCAGACTCTTCTCAAGAATGCCTAGGGAGACTGCCAAGGGACCGTAGCAATCAGGATATATTCATCTTCACCTTCATCTAAATACCCACAAGAGAGGGTCCCACAAGCACGGTAGATAACCAGATGGAGGCATGACAATAAGGAAGGTTCTGGTAGCAGGTTTTTATTTGGTAGGGTTGGAAAAGTTTTTATCAAAAATATTTATAATAGTTAACCTTTATTGAGAACTATTTTGTGCCAGAAACTGTTCCAAGTGCATTACATGTATTTATTCATTAAATACTATTATTATCCTCATTTTACATTTGAGGAACCTGAGGTACACAGAAGTTAAGAACTTACCTAAAGTTTCACAGCTAAGAAATTGGTGGAACCACGATTCAAACCAAGACAGTCTGGCTCCAGAGCTCACACCCCTAAATACTATGTTATTCTGCCTTTCAAATGGTTCATCATGGCGCTCAAGACTAAGATGGTCATTTTTTCCATGTGGCACATAATGGTTCAGTGTCAACCTCTCCACTCACCGTGAGACTGGATCATGGCACTGTTCATGGGGGGAGGACTGTTACTGGGTTGCCTGAAGAGATGGTTGTTGGGATGGTTGGGGGGTGGGCTTGAAGGCTGAATCCTTAACCTTAAAACCAACAAAAGAGATAAAGAAACTTCCTGAGTTAACAGTACAATCTTGAGCTAAGATTCAGCTACACAATACACACAAGTAGAAATGATTGTTTTAGTTCTGATAAGTTTCCATGCCAAAAAACATACGTAAGGCGTCCACCACAGTCTACCTAAACCCATCCACGTCTTGTTGGATCAGACTTCCCAGCCACAGAGGCAAAGGTCACTGTGGGTGTGTGTCTGGCCTCCTGTTATTAGATATCAGATTACTTTGTTCATGAGGCTAAGAAAATGAAGTGGAACAGGGAAGTCAAGACTTTAGGAAGGCACCTAAAATTTAAATTGGTTTCTCTGCTTTTCAAATAGATTCTTTCAAGATGAATGCTAAAGTCAGTCAGCATCTCTCATATGAGTCTGGCCAAGGACACCAGGCTACAGAGACGATGGCTTAAGCATAACGTAAGAAGATTCCTTACCTCTGGAGCTGGTGGGTGAGGAGGGCTGGCTGATTTTCACATGCAGCCTGAAGAGGTGGAGAAGGCTGAGGAGGACAAATAGAGTCCTAAAATATACATGGGGAAAGGAAAAACATAACCATGAGCTTGAAAACTAACCAGAGCTATTCTCGGAAATGGAAGAAACAGAGAACTATCTGTGACTCAGATTTATGCTTCTGTTGTTCATTAAAGGTCTGATTACCTTAGCTCAAGAATGTCAACTATAAACATAACTGCACTTTGCCCTGAGTGATCTCTTCCAAAATGCATAGGCAAATCAGCCTGAAGACAAACTCCAAACAAGTTGGAGAAAGCAAAGAGTGAAGGCCTACTTGAATTTGTTGCTGGAGAATTTGATGGTGCTGCTCCTGCTGGTACAACATATGCTGCTGCTGGGTCTTCTCCAGGGTTCTTTCATCAATCTGCCCCCCGTACATCTTCTGCAGCTGCTCACACTCCTGAAGGGAAAGCAGTTAATGCAGATGGGATGCAGCCAGGCCCACCCATGCAGTGATCTCAGCAGATGCAGATCTGCCCCAAGGTCTCATGGGCAGAGCGAGCCACAAGAAGAACAGTGTCCTTGATGAGCAGTTAACCCATTATATAGGTCTCTGTGTACTAAATGTATCCACAGTCTGTTCTGTATAAACGAACAGAAAACACCAAGGATGGCCTGTGTATGAGGGAAAGTGTCCAGTGTGAAACGTGTACACGAAGCACATGCCACTTGAAGCTTGATCATCAGACAGGCAGAAAGGAAATTGGCTCTTATAAAAGCCCGAAGTACAAGTATGTTTCCTTCCTCTGGGAGCACCATTCCGTACCAACTGGAGAGTAGGCCAGGTGGTAACAATGTAGAGCAGGATCCAACAAGACCCAGCACCCTAAATCACGAAAGGAATGCCGGGGCTGCTTCCCACTGAAACCCAAGCCCCCAAATTCCTTTCCAGTGAACTACAAGTACAGGAGAAAAATTTAGTCCCTTCATAAGGGAAGCAAGTTTGATCCTGGGGAGAGCTGTACATAACAAGAAGGAAAGAGCATTAGAAAGCTACACTTCTGTAACCTATAAAACTGCAGGCTGCCAACACAAAGTGGGTAGCAAGTTTACTGCCCCAGTCCTCCTGCAGTACTGGCCTGTGTTACCCATGCTTCTCCACAGATGCCTGCTGTCTCTTCCATTACCTGCTGCAACTGTTTGATGCTGCTGTTGTTGCCCATTTTTTCCAGGTGAGCTTTGAAGGCCTGGATGCTTGCAGCCCCATCTGAGAACCGGCGCACAGGGGAGAAACGCTCCGTAGGGAGGTGCAGGGTGTTGGAGTCCTTGTAGGTAGAGCTGAATACATGGGAAGAGAAGGTTAGGGGCTAGGACTCAGGGGTTTTCACCAAATTACATAGGGACTGCTATTCCAGATGGACACAGAGAAGGCTGGCTGCATGTGTAGCCCTGCATATTACGCCACTTCCATTTGCAGAGGCTGGTCATTTCCCTAGCCTGCTTTCCTTTGCAGGGAAGGTGCACATCTTCATTTCTACTTACCTTCAGTTGGCTTACTTTCCAAGCTTGGTGAGGTCCTGGGGTCAAATGCGTCCAGTTCTTATAAATATACTAGGCCATACAGAAAAGCTCCTCAATATCTTCCAGGCCAGGCTGAACATAAGCTCTTGTTTTTATAATCATGTCTCTATCTAGTGCCTTTAGAAATCTAAAATTCAACAATTTGACCTAAAGTTTTCCCTGACTAGTAATCTCTGTATGACCAGAGGGAAACCACAGTCAGCTTTGTGGTCAAAGGTCTGACCTGGAACTCATAGGTTCTGTGCTACAAAGTGGAGGGTGGAGGTTGGGGTGGGATAAAATGGGACTTCTGATCCCGGGATGGAGACAGCACATTCTTAAGGAATGGGGGCCTCAGGATTCTGCATGTACCTGCTTAACACAAATAAGGTTACCTACTGTGAAAATTAACTTCTCAGAGCAGCAGCACCTGGCCAACATACTAATGAAAGAGGAATCATGTGGATTACCTCAAAGACCCCACTGCTCAATCAGAACACAGCCAATATCTTACAAAAAGAAAGAACAAGCTTTTGATAAGGAATGCCTAAGACAGCATCGGGGTTAGAAGCTAACACCTATACTTGTTACCTAATCAGAAAGAGATGTTTATAGGTTGAGGTAAACAGATAAAAGGCTGCCCAGGCAGCATTCCAATAGATGATGGAAAGGATCAGGAATTCGTGTCCAGGGCAAAGATGACATTACACTTGACTATGGGCGAAATGATGTGCCACCCTTGCCAATTACTCATTTTGGGCTGAAGCAGACCCATAGCTAAGGAAGGTTAACAAGCAAGTTCAAATACAATGCAGGTGGTGAGGGGTGGGAGGAGGACAAGAGGGGAGACTAGGAGAAATCTGATGACTGTACAGAGGTGTCAAGAGAGTTCTAGCAGCAGGTGAAAGCCCTTGACCCTCTCTTTCCTAATGATGACTTCTATTTCAGACTCTGAGCTTGACATGGTAGTGAGTTAATGAAATGAGCACAAACATATATTTGTTTCAGTAACACAAAAGATAAATGATTTGGGGGGACATAATCCAGAAACAGAGATCATCAAAGCTGCTTTCAGGACCATTTCCTCAAAACTTCTCATTTCTATTTCCACTTCAGGTTTTTCAAGTAAAGCATTCTCTCCTAAAATTTGACTCCTACACTTTCAGTATTTTCTGATAATGCACGCATTTCTGATTCACTCAGAAAACTGTGTTCTTCAAGCAGACAAGACATTCTTTCTGCACAAAATCCATTCTCTCCCATTAGAGCAATAATCCCAGGTCCAGGTATTTCATGACTTTTTCAGAAGCTCAGGCTCTGAGTAGATTGATAAACAGGTGAGTCCAGCATAGTAACTTCAGAGGAACATTTCTATGTACTCATTTCAGAAGCATGGATAATATCAATTGTGCTTGATTTTATTTTTATTAGCAATCCTGTCCAAACTCAGGACAGCCTCATTGTAGACTGATATACTCCCACTGCACTCCTCAAACAGGAACTGGGTTTCCCCACCTGGATAAAATCCATCTTGTGTATGTGGGTTTTTTTAGTTACACTTCATTAAAGAATCAATTTTAAATTACACACTTCTAGGAATAAAAAGGTTGATCAGACCCCTCTTCTGTCTCCATGTTGGACTTCATCTATTACACCCTAGAAGAATATATATGTACCAGGATACTTCAAAAAGTTCATGGAAAAATAGGATTGAAAGATAATCTTTTCATGAACTTTTTGAATTTCCCTCATATGCTATTCTTTAATCATTTACTCCAGAAAATGAAAGGAATTCAATAACCTATCTAGGCTACCCATTTTCAGTGTTGTATGGCTTTGGAAAGTTTCTCTTTTCCCCTGAAGACGAACTTCAGTCTCTTGGCTGCATATTTGTATATTGACCCTATTAAGATATGCTGAGTTTGCACAAATGCCCCACCTTACACAATCTGCTGCTCATAAAGCATTCATTTTCTTCCAGTTCAAACTGGCTTGGCCACAGGAACCCTGAAGCACTCTACCAAGAGTGTTAACATGAAAAGATACAGCAGACAGATTTCCAGCAGGCAAGGCCTTGACAATGACTGTAGGCAAGGTGAATATCACAGAAACAGAGCTGTGGGCCAATGCAGTCTTCCTTTTGTAATGAATGTCTAAAGGATATAGGGTCTGTGATAAAGGCTGACTGGAGATGTGCTGATCTTTATGATTCCCTGATAAGAATACCTCCCAAGGAACACCTAAGAATTAAACAAGGGTACCCAAAGGACTTAAGCTAAACAATAGACTATAACAAGGGCTGAAAAACTAAGTGTCAGGCTGTGAAGGAAGGGAAGATGGAGACAAGGAGAAATGAAATAAAAAAAGGACTATTAGGTACAAGTGTAGAGCTCAAAGTTATGAGAAATCATAGGAAATTTATAGAGGAAAGAGAAGACAGATCTCCAGTAATCACTCAAAGTATCCTTTGATGTGTACTAAACAAAGTAGGTCCTGAGAGATGTTCATTAGAAAAAGATTGTCCTTCTCTGCCATCAGAGTTTTATTTGAGAATCTTCATTCTTGCTACTCCTAATAGACCATTTTTACTAAGTCATTCACAGTCATTTATAAAAGTTTATCTTCTTTCAGAGTTCCAACGTGGCACTCATTATTTCTCAGTCTGCTCAGAGTTCACCTGCCTCTGCTGATTACATTAATGCCCAGTGGGTAACTAGCCACAATAAAAACATCACATCAAGCTTGCCAGTGTGAACTGGTTGCAGGATTTCGTAACAACACATATAAACCTAATTTCCTTGGAATCTGACTCTTTTTCAACCTTCTCAAGTAAGACTGCTTTTCACTGTGCTCCCAAAAAGACTGAAATAAAATAAACTCTGACAATAGGTGGTGGCTTTGAAAATGTGGCACATGAACTTGGGGATAGCTTCAGTATGGACATAGCTAAGATTTTAATCATCAAGATATTCACAGAAGATCTTCCTAATCTAGCAAAGAGTCATTCCCCCTGCTTCCAGGCTTAATTGGACTCAATGAAGTTTTCTTGGTCAGAAAGGTTAAACTTATTTTTTCAAGAAAATGAATTATAAATATAACAGAGACCTAGCAAAAGATTTCGCCCTCAGAATATTCAAAGAATGACTTCTCAAGCACATCACTCAAGAGGATGCAGCATCTCAGTTCTACCACTCACAAGGGAATGTATCTTCTTCCACATCCAAGCTCATTGTCCAATGGTTACATGACATGATATGCTCATTCTTCTGAAGATGATGAATTAGTAAAGAAAATGTCTATTGATATTGCTACAAATCCTCCTATTTCCAGTTGGCCTTCTGAGAGCTTCACTTCCTTGCAGTTCTCAAGTTCAATTTCATCTATGAGTCAACATTTAGAATGATGGCAATCAACTGTAGACAATAAACACGTCTGCAAGGTAATGGGAAAGAAGAATCTTGTATCGCTTCAGGGCCCAGGAGCAAACCTTTTCCTTGTGCATTGCCTAGTGCGAGGAGCTGAGAAGATGAGTTCAGGATGACAGCTGGCTCCTATTCAAAGCTTTGATGCTAGTCACCATCACTGTGAGACTAGTCTGAAGGGTGCCTGTCCGATGAGCCTCAAGGAGCTCAGACAGCTCATGTGGCTACTCACCGATGCTGATCAGGTACCAGGTGAGGAGGCCAGACCCGGGAACGGAAAGACTGCTGTCCTAGCTGCCGTTGTAGGTCCGGTGGGATCTCAGCTGTAGGGTTGGTCATTGCCAGTGTATGTCTTTTGGACCTATTTGCCAAGTACCTGCAACAAGCAGGAGCACATTTCATAGTAAAAAAGACAGACAGGAATATCCCTCTGCAAGAAGCATTAGAAGTTAATCCAAAGTACTCAGTGAAATAGTGCCAGAGCTCAAAAAGTGCTCTATAGCAAACAGATCCTTGATTGGATGAAAGTGAAACACATCTAACTTGCCAACAAGTTGGCATAACATAGAAGTGGCTGAATTTTGAACCTAAGAGTAGCCATTGAAGAGAAGAGAGAAAGCAGATCTAGCTCACAAGGATAAGAGTATCAATTTTCCTACTGCATTACATTCAACAGAAGAATTTATTTTCTACATGTTAATTTTATTCCTCTTTTCCCTCCAAATTTCCAAAATACAAGTCAGAGGAAATAAGCCCTAAAGACTATTCCTAGAGATGAGCAAACGGAGATATTCAGAAGGACTCCGTATATGCCTCTTGATCTCACAGGCCTCAGGTTTTGAATCTGTCCTCACTACAAGTCCCAGAAAATAGATCCTTCCATTTGCAGATGGGTGAGTTCCAAAACCACCTCTTCCTTCAGGCCCCATGACTGTAACCCAATCATCAGAAAAGAAAAACTGGTATTGTCCCCAGGGAACCAACATTCTGTAGAGAATGAAGAAATAAAACCACATGAAATGTTTAGAAATGTTTTTAGGGAAAAAAGGCAAAGCAAGACAGAAAAACAGAAGAGTTTCAAAAGCTGAAGCCTTCTCTTAAGTGGATGACTTCTATTCTGAAGATCTTTCAGACCCTCCACTTAGTCAATACCATCAGTAAGAGATCAGTCACCCTGCATCTGGTGATGACTTCCTCCAACACTGCTGCTCTTCTTGGGCATGAATCAAGGAAGGTGATATAATGATTTCTTTTCATTATATCAAAACTGACTGTACCTTTTAAATGTTGATCTAAAGAAGAAAGAAGATAGAGCTGGAGGAATTAAATGCTAAGACAAAGAAGATAACATAAAACATTTGCTTTCTCTTTTAAGGTAGGAAGGCAGTAAATTTCCTAATTTCTCATTTCTTCATGATACCAGTAGGGCCCATATGCAACCTTATATACCATGTTATCAGCTAACTAGGAAGCAGCAGCATCAAGAGAAAAATTTTCATTTTATTGGCTAAGCTGTAGAAGGAGCTGCACTACCTGCAAATATCCCTGTTTGCCACAGTTTTCTTTCCATACAGGAATGGCTTCTTTTCAAAAAGCAGCTATCATACAGAGCTACTAGGGGTAAGAAAGGAAGTACTGGCCAGCAACTGTCGGGTTCTTAAAAAATGGTCTGTCTCATTAACTACCTTGCCCATTTAAGCTAAAATCAGTTAACAGACTGTGGAGTAATTAGTGGTATGTAAACTTGCCAAGAATAAGCCATTAATGGTTTAATATCCATTTGAGAAAGACATCCAAAGTTTCCCCAAGAGCCCATGAAAACCATTTTATTTCAACTTCCCTCGAGGGAAAAACATATAATCTTGAAGAACACCTGTATTTCTGGGAAAATACATGCTGGCTTCTGGTGAAACCCCCTCCCCAGAAAATGAGAAAGACAACTCCCACAAGGGGGCATGCGTGGAGCTGAGGACCGGGGCTAATACAGTACAGCATGCCTGATGGTCACTGCCATTCTCTGTGAATTAGGCATCTCTCAACAGGTTCTGCAAACAATGGATATCTGCATCTGTCCCTGGCCCGAATCCCATATTCTTTTTTTCAATATCTCTTTGTTGGTACAAGGGAGTGGAGGAAGCACACGGCAAACAGTACGAGAGGTATTCATTCTCCTGGAAAGGAAGAGTCCACGCCAGAGGTCCATGGCCAGACTAGCTAGGATCACTGTCATCCCAAATCTCCAATTCCTTTTCAGTAAACAGTTCTTGGCAGGTAGGAGCAGGCTTTGTGCCTTGTGAATACTATTAAAGTTGCAATATGAAGGCAAGGGGTAAGGAAGGAAGGAGGGAGGAGAGAAAAAGTTCTTATGGTTATTGCTGTCACTTAGGGGACTTCCAATGGCGCTTACAGAAATGAAATTTTCTGGGTAGTCTTCTGTTACTTCCACGTGGGGAGAAACATGCCATCTGGCTTGAGCAAAGAGACCACACAAATGTTGAAGCTGCACTGTACCACCTCCTTGGGCAGAAGTGACCTTTCGTTGGTTGCAGGGGGAGCCTGCCCAAGGACGTTCTGCAAGCACTGCCAGATGTCACATTACCTCTGCACAGCTTCCTGATCTGGCTCCCCATCTGAGCTCTCCTCGTCCACAGGGGTAACTGCTGGCACTGCCTGCAGAGAGACAGGAAGGAAAAGTTCAAGGTGGCAGCTTATTCTATAATGTCTCTTATTCTGGACTTGGGACAGCACTTTCTGTTAACTCTCTTATTTACAAAACTTTTCTAGGACCCCTAGGTTATAATGAACTTTAATACACCTACTTTTCCATTTTTACCTTGCTTAGGTAATATTAATTTGGATTTCTTCCTCTTATTCAATTTCATGCATTCATTTATTCATCCAACAAACAGCTGAATGCCTACTATGTTACGAGGTAAAATGTGAATTTACAGATAGGGTCCTTGCCCTCATTTTACAGTCCAGTGGAAGATAGAGACAAGTAAACAGTTACAAAATAGCATGACCAAGTCCTCTAATGGGGGAACTTGGGAATTAAGGAAAACATCCTGGAGGAGGTAAAACTTAACTTGAGACCTGAAGGAGGCATAGGAGCTAGTCAGACAAGAAGGGAAATGGGTCACAGGTTTCTAGGCTGAGAGAAAAGAGAAGACCTGTAGGTATTTGAGAACCTGAAAATATAGTAAAAGACTGTTTACCTGTAATGGCTAGGACTTGACCTATTGTTTCATATTAATGTTAGTTCCAGAGTTAAGATGTCTTAACACCAGGAAAGCAGAATAACTTTTTTTAAAAGTACATTTTAGTACATAACATATACTTGTATAGTTGCATTCAATGCTTTCAAATAGTTGTTATCCACCAAAACATGTAAGTGACACAAGAACCACCACAGTGCACGCGTCACCATGGTCTACTCTCATCTGCATGAGGACCGGATGCTGTGCATCCCTGACCACTCCTCACAGCCTGGTGGTTCACATAATCACCATGCCTCGGGCACTGGAGCAAAAAACCATACTTCAATTATTATAAAAGAGCATTTTTCAAAATGGATAATGCTGTGGTTTGAACGTCCCGCCAACCCCATGTTGGAACTTAACCTCCAATGTGGTGGTAGAAGGCAGATCCTTTAAGAGGTGATTGGATCCCAAGGACTGTGCCTTTGTGAATGGACTGAGGCAGTCATGGAGTAATGGGTTGATGATTTAATCAGTTGTCACGGGCATGGTTATGATGGCTTTAAAAGAAGAGCAAGTGAGAAGGTTAGCTCTCTTGATCAGCCCATTCTCACTATGTGACACCCTGGGTGCCATGGGACCCTGTAGAGAGTCACCACCAAGAAGAAGGCCCTCACCAGATGTGTTCTCTGGACCTTGGACTTCTCAGCCTCCAAACTGTAAGAAATAAATTTCATTTACTTATAAATTACCCTGTTTCAGGTATTCTGTTATAAGCAACAGAAATGGACTAGCACAGATGATAATTACAAAACAAAACAAAAAACCTTTTGGAATAATTCCATTGTTTGAATGCTTCTAGAGTTTCCACATCCTTTCCTCAGTTCTATAATGGTGGAGTAAATAGGATCAGGCAGCAAGTACCTGTAGATGATGCAGGAGAGGAACACTGTGGCCCCGACCACCACACTAAAAAGTTTATTTTGAGTAAGGGCAGTGGCGTATCACTGAAGGCTTTCATAAGCAGGGGCATGATGTTATAAGATTTATATTTGAGTAAACTAGCAGTGTGAAAAGGGCTGGTGGCAAGGATCAGGAGACAAGACTGGAAGCAAGAAAGCTAGTCAGGAGGCCACTGTGTTAGTCTAAGCAATAGATGACAGTGACATGAGTTAAATAAAGGGCACTGGTGATGGAGAGAAGTAAGATATTTAATTCACAGGCATTAGATAACTGATTTGATACAGGGAATAAGGGAGAGGGAAGAGTTAAAGATAAAACCCACATTGCTAGCTTGTATAACCAGGACATTCACTGTCATCCAAGGGGGTCATTTTAGGGCATATTGAATTAAAAGTGAGTACTTATGAGATAATCAACTAAACCTATCCAGTAGGCAGACATGTATAAAGATGTGCAGAACTCAGAGAGTACTCTGGGCTGGAGAATCAGAGAGTAACTGAAATTATGGGAATAGACAAGCTCATCAGAGAGAATATGGAAAGTGAGATGGGAATAGGGCCTAAGATAAAACACCATGTTTCACCAACTTCAAGAAACAAGCAGAAAGGAAACATGAAAAGAGGACTGCAAAGGAAAGGCAAGAGGAAAACAAAGAGAATGTGGTGTGATAGAAGCAAAAAAAAAGAGTAATGTTTCAAGGAAAAAAATGGTCAATGGTGACTAATACAGTAAGGATGTCTAAAAGATAAAGATTAACAATGTCCACTGGACTTGTCAACAAAAACGTGTTAGTGACCATGGCAAAAACAGTTACAGTGTGGGGCTGGCTGGTTAACTCAGCTGGTTAGGGCATGGTGCTGAACACCAAAGTGCAGAGTTTGATTCCTGTACCGGCCAGTCGCCTGCCCCCCACCAAAAAGAAAAAACAAACAAACAAACAAACAAAAACCCAGTTACAGTAAACAGAGTAAGTCATCTCACCTCCTTCATAACCTGTATTGACCTTGCCCATTGCTGAACCCCTCTGCCACCTAATACTCCATGTTACTCTTAATCACATAAGGTCTTTTACTATCATCCAAATATTTCACATATGTTGATCTTGTCTTCCCATACTATAAGCTCTTATACATCATTATTATATATCAAGGGTTATGATATATAATTCTTTAATTTTCCGGAAAACAGTGTTACTGAAAGTATGGCCCCTGGACTCATGCCAGTCCACAAACTGTTTTGTTACTAATCCACAATAAGGTAAATACAGAAATTAAGAGTA